TTCTAAGATGTTTCCTTTGCTACCGCGCATAAATGATGGACCGAAATTGAGGGAAGCCTGCAGGAGGGGGTATTTCGGCGTCGCGCGCTAACTCGTTTAACGGCTTTTTTGATAAAATCTTCAGCAGTGTTTAGTAGGAATGGCAACATCTGGCATCCGTAAAACGTAAAAATACGTCTGCATTTGCTGTTGTCTCCAGGCGCCACTACTAGCACAATAACTCGGCTGATTACCGCTAATAAAGCGTCTGTTTGTAACATATCTCGGAAACACAATTTACATACATATGGCCTTTGTGTTTCGATACCGTATTATATCTAGTTGCATGATCCCTAATAAAAAGCCTTCGAACTTTGTCACAAGATGTAGCAATTAACGACAGATTTTTTCATTTTTACTATAGTCTCGCCGTAAGATGGCATGCTAGGAATTGTCACTCAGCTAGTACAGATAAAAGTGTAGTCTAATGATCGTCCATCTCAATACGAAGCTGGGGTCAACTCTGGCCGCTGCATGGTCAGTAGTGGCCGCTGTCAAGGATCAAATAGTTTTATTACTATAATTTGCGTAGAAGGGAAATCGGTAGCGTCTCATATACGTTGGTAGCGTGCGCATGCAAAGAATAACCCAATATTGAAACGTCGAAGAATAACTAAATCACTGGGTTTTAACGATCTTAGTTGCTACACATCGTAGTAATACGTCCCGTCCAATATGGTTGTTGTCCGATCAGTGGTATGAAAACAATTTTTTAAAATACACTTCTACATATGATCGAATCAAGCTGATTTATACATGATGTAATGTCAGCTTTGCCGAGTCATTAATTTCATTATTTACATTTCGCTTACGAAGTTACGTCTAATTGAAGACCCACCGACTGATTCTCTCAGACGACGATTACTCAATGGAACCATAGGCGCCATCTGCTTTTTAGATTTAGAATAATGAGATTTTCTACTGCTAAACAAGTACCTTTTCCAGCTATTTACATCTACCATTTGTCAGATCTAACCGCTGATGGATTGTTTTGATCACAGATTGCTGAGCACCACCCCGAACTGTCCGCTCATCATCTACAAGCAACACAAGTAGGCGTCCGTGAGAGACTAATAGTCGGTCTAGTCATCACTTAGAATCTGCTCAGAGTCACATCGAGATCACTTTAAGATTCTGCCGGCGTTTCTTCGATATTTGATCAGAGATGCTGTCGGCTGGCAATACTAAAGCTAAGAGCTTGCAGTCGTTCGCTAGCTGTGCTTCGAACATCGTTTAATAGTTGGCAGTAGTAATAGTAACTTTCTTGTGGTAAGAAACCAGTAGATCGCCTGATCTCTTCTCACTCTTGTGGTCTCGTCCTCGATCGCGCAAAAGTTAAGAACTCCATTGGTCATAATGGTCCCATACACTCAATGGCAAAAGCTGCTTGCGTTCTGTCCTATGCACTTGCGATAATGAATTTTTTCATGACTCGGCATAACGAGTACATTGTATAACTGGCTGTCGCTAAATATAACGGGATTACCAACTAAATTGACCAGTTGACAAGAAGCGTTGCGATTCATTCGTACGCGCCACAATAGGACAGCTTGCTCAGGTACGTCAGAAAAAAAACAGTCCTGAAATCATATTGCAATATATATCGAGAAACTTGAAACCCTGTCGGAACGAACGCCTTCCCATACCGTACATAAAAGTCAACTTATTATTATGTTCAGACAGTCAGGTACTGAGCCTTTTTATACAGTAATAGGCACAAGTTTATCTAGATATGCCATACGTGTGAATGCTACTGTTCGTCTACTTGAATGGAAAGGCACTTTTTTATATGAACTTGGTTGGGATAAGGTAAATTTTGGGCGATGTGTGTTATCAGAAACGAAATTTCACCTTAAGAATGTTCCTGGCTCAAATATATTATCTAACTTGTCACTGACTACTTTTTGCTGCCTGCTTGCCTGTTCATGGTTCTCGTGGACACTGTGACCCTAATGACCTCACACAAAATTCTTTGGGAGTCGGCCTACCTCAAAAGTACGAGTATCTAGATGACATTCTTCCATAGTCACCAGAGGCTTCGGCTGTTGCTCATTTTTTCACAGACTGGCAAGTTATAAACATGTTACTGAAGCACGCACCTTTCTGTATTTTTTGATATTAGGAAAAATACAGATAACAATTATAGTCTCAGGCTCTATGGTTATATATCGTATATATATATATATATATATATATATATATATATAAAATTATATCCTTTTTATGTCACCATTTGTACGTGTAATTCAGCCATAAAGTTCTGCAGAGTGAAAAACCACAGCAAAACCTCATGGTTTTATCATAGAAAAAAAAAAAATAAATATGTTTGCACAAAACATAAATGGAGAACAATATAACCTGTGATTAAAATACCCACGAGTAAATGCAAACATTTCTTACACCTGACAAGGCAAAATTCATAAGATTTTTTTTAAATTAAAAAATCTAAATTAATTAAAAAATAAAAAAATTGAATGAGAGATCCCGGTGAGATAATAGTCTTACAGTATTAGAGAACATTTGTAGTACAAACTGTTGCCCTAAAAAATAAATCGGCAGTTGCTGTCACTGCTAGAAAGGTACAGCAGTGAAAATAGAAGTTTCAATCAAACGGTATAGTCTAATAAAGTGCTCGTGAGTAACGTTAAAGCTACACGTCTCCATGCAAGTCGGTCGCGTAAAAAAACTTGGACCGCTCTATTCATAGTTAAAGTATTTGTATAGTATGGCCTACATCAGGACGTAGAGATCGTGATAACTTGCCTGCGTGACATTTGGCAAATTGGTTCGGGCTACAACATTTGTCCGGTCGCCTCAAATGTATGACACGCTTATAAAACACGTTTTTCATAGAGATTACCACCAAAACATTGATACAGATTGCTTGAATTTACTTAGCAAAGCGCCTAATAAAACTCCGGACAATATTGAACCAGCCTGTGTTTGCCTATTTGTTTCTATATAAGTATTTAGATCAAGTTTGAAAAATTATCTATGTGATTAACAAGTAAAGGAGGGTCCACATGTTCCCGAATTTTCAATTTAGCGCCAAGTTCTGACCATCGAGTAATTTTTATGTAGTGGAGTTAACTGTATTTTACTTTTATTTTTTAGGGTAGTCTTGTGTACATACTACTAAGTATCTCAACAACGGAGCTTGTTGCGTCTGGGCCGAGAGTCGCTCAGACGCGGCCGTTGTGTTTATCGTCATGAGGACCACTAACCCTCAATCTCTCTTTTTTTCGTTTTTGCTTAGATCCGCTAACCCAGATTTTCATTAAGTAGTCGTAGAGGCAGTGGCCCATTGACTGGAGAACAAAGTTGTTGTGCTTTCTACTGATTTACATGAGCAGTTAGCATTTCGCAGCAGTCAGTATTTCGCACCGTTAAGGCCAGTTTACATAAGAGGGTCAGGTCGGAGTTGTGGCTCATTACTATACTACATGACCTCTGTTGATAATTCCTCTATAAAAGTGCTATCATTTGTAAGTGGTAGCATAGAAAGGAAAGTAAAAAAAAAACCGTAATGGCTATAAAGTTGTTGTTGTTGTTACTGCTGCTGCTACTAGTGTAGTTTTAACAGTCCGTCGTAGCTATTAGTACGACAGCGAGTGCCGTAAGCGATACTGTGGTAAAGGTTTTGTTTGAACTTACTTCTTAGGGAAACATAATCAGAAGCGATTTAGCTATAAGTTTAACAGTCGATGATCCAAACCTGAATTTCACCCTACTGCTATTTTTGTTACTGCGTACGTGTAGTAACCGGTCGACCGAGCAACCTGTAATAGCATTACTATTTCGCTTCCAAAGGAAGAATTTTTAATAGATAGTTACAATAGATAGATAGACTCAATACCGTGCGTCGTGGGAAAAATCGTGAACGTGCTTTAAGTGTCCTAATTTTACTGTGTTTATAGACATTGATGACACCATTCAATTTGGATAGAATAAACGGCTGGTAAAAATCGCGTGAAACACGTACCCCTACATTTTGCTGGTAGTCAGGTCAATGAAGCTATATTTGATAACCGTATGATACAGTTACAAGGAAAAATACATAAATCTACGACGGCAAGAACTACCTATAATTTACGAGTTTCGAGCTCGGAATGGCCGATGGTAAAAAGCTAGCCATAGCAGCGTGGTTTAAGAATCGTCAAAGGAACTTAGCTGTTAGCAATCAGCCTTTTTCTTCTGAGACGTCTCTATAAGATCGTCACCATTATCTAACTGAGTCACTCCGATGATACGATCCTGTATAATTAGGGCTGCAATGTAGAACAGATTTTAAGTTCCAACAGGCCAATTGTATATGATTAACAGAACCGTTGCAACTATAGGCAATCTCAGCGATCAGAGGATCGTTGTCAGCTCGTCATGTTGGAATCTAGAACAACTGAAATTGTTTGAGACTATATGTGCATGCTGACTTTATAAAAGGAAACCCCCTAAAACATCAGAAATCATTATACCCTTTACAATTTCGACGCGTATAAAGTAGTGGCTGCAATGTAATTAATCAGAAAATGAGATAAGCGTCATGATGAGGATGCCAGAGCTCTTACGTGCATTACTCCAGTACCAACTGGCACGATGTCGACCTCACTAGCTCCCTGTGATCTTCGGCGGCCCGTCAATTTTCAATGCTGTGTTTTGTCGTCACCTAAGAAGTATAGGCGCTACCTTTATCAGCCTCTGACCAGCGGAATTTTACAGATATAATAAATAGCAAGCGTTCTCGTCCGTGAGAACTGTTTGCCATCATGGTAGGCCGTATCCAGCGTCTAGACACACATATCAGACATGAACGGTACGGCTTGTTTTTCTTTTTTCACGCTCAGTCAACTAGTATTTGATGTAATTTGGAAAAACTAAACTTCATATTTTCTGAAAACACTACCATCACGCCCTGTTCCATCCTGTCACCAACATCGGCCATCTGTCCTTGGCTTTCGTTACAGGTTCACAACCTTCTTGCCGCGAGCGGCTTTGATAATGTGGACGTTCAGCTCCGTCAAATGCTGGGCGACTCTGACTCTGTTACTTCGGATAATGGAAACCATGAAGCGCTAAATCTGCAGCAGCTCGAGCTGTTGTGTGCGGCAAGTCCGGAAAGCGGCGCAGGCCCCGACGAACACGACTACGACTCAGTCGACGACGCAGACCACTATGATTACTATATCGGCGGTATATGCGATAATTAAACACTGGCTGGCTTGTTTTAGCTAGTTTACCTTTAAATAAAGTCGGTTTCCAAACGAATATCATAGGTATTCTCTTTACAACAACTCTTACTGGGCTATCTTTTATCGTTTTGCCTTTTAAATGATTTGGGAAATTTTTGCTTAAGTCTGACCTGAAATCCGTGCAGCTGAATAAAATTACGCTGACAATTGTATACACTTTTTCTCGAAGGAATGAGGTCGATTTTTAACGAAGCTTCAGAACAATACTACGATGTTCTGTGTTGAAAACCATGTATTGTATGGTTTTCAGTCGGCAAGGTCGTACGTATTATCGCTACCGTACAGCAAAAAGCTGAGGCTGTTTTTCAGAATCTCATTACGGCAACTGCTATGGTTTCAACGCTTACTTAACATATATTAGTCACTGAAACGATCGTTTATGAAGCGCAAATAACCTATATATTATACGGCGCTTTTTTATTTCAGATCCGATTAAGGAACTAGAGGTAATTCCCGAGGAGGACCTGGAAGAACAATATTATGAAGAACCCCAGCGGAGAAAAATTCAGCCCCTTCGTACCTCGTCCATACATCATCCACACCTCCCTATGAGAACCCCTTCTCCCCGGTATGACAATATGAAATAGGACTTGTTTGTGACTACAACATTTTCGGCACCACCTTGGCCGTAAATGCTATGCATGGCCTCCTATTGAAACATTGCTGTACATGGTGTGCTTATATATATATAATATCAGATTATTTGAGTCTTACACACTGGTGGACAGATGTTGGACCATTGAATACCTCACGATGTTATCTAATGTGCAAAATTTGTACTTGATAATGGCATTTTAACGTCGATCAGACGTCAGTGTGATAAATATAAACGCGGCTTCGTTGGATAAATCTAACGTTTTGTATTTGGCTGGTTATTTTAGGTTAGGCTCGCCAAGGCACGTAGAGTCCGACTCTAATTCGGAGAGTTCCGAGACGAACTCAGTTAACACGGTTGTCACTGAGATCCGCCAACAATTTTCCCGACAGCAGCAACAAAGTTTACATAACCTTGACAGCGGTCACAACAATCCGAATTTAAGTAGCCACACCGCCGATCAGCATCAACGGTATCTGACCGACGGCATTCTTCTCGTTACATTGTATTACAGAAAGCTAGTCTACGCTCGAGATAAGCATAAAATATATAGTAAAAGCAAAGTAGGTCGATTCCCGTTCGAGGCACAGTCGCTTAAAGCACCTAAAAGGAAAACATTTTTTTAGGTGTTTTAAAGGATTTAGCTTTTGAAACACCTAGGACGCCATACATTGTACATTTAAAAAAGCTATAAGATTAATTCGCATAGATTTATTGATGGCACCGAACGACCCTCACAAGAGAATCTCTACTTTGTCTCCTCGTTATAGAACTATAGAAGAAGATAATTGTAGCATTTTACTAAATAACTTTGTGCTCGGACGGGCAGTACATGCAACAGAAACGACTGATCAGGACTGACTAGGGCATCGTTCTGTGTATACACATATGTCTATGTGCATGTGCAGAACATTCACTAGCTTAGTATAATAGACTGGTTCAAATGACGGTGAGAAACACAAGCTAAAGCCAATATTCTTAAATGTACTTCGAAGAAACCGCTGTTACTAGTAATACCGTAGGCTTTTATTATTTGCTGTATACATAGAGAGATTGCTTATTGATTGTAATAGGTGGGACTATAAAAGTGGCTCGATTTTGGAGAACCTACATTGACTGCCCTGCAGTAGATATGAATCGGTGCGACCAGTCCACTGTTCTCAGCCTTTAGCTTTGAAACATTTTACGACAGCTAAACGATCACTTGTTTGAGTCATCACAATATTTCCATGGCACCAACCTAAAAACGCCAACTAGATTGTCGTTTAGGCAGTCATCATTGGGCGTTACGTTTGTCATTGGTGGATGTAGGTCAAATGTAACCTAACGTACGTGTGTTATGAATCTCGACGTTCGTTCTATCGCGGGTCTGACTAGAGTATTGGGCGTATCGTAATCTGGGAGTCGACACTCATAGTTTTTACGTACGAATTGTTTTTGAGTTCGGTATCTGCCAGTAGATGGAGGCATTTTCTCAGTGAAAATATCTAGCGGTATTGTAACATACTGGATTCATCATTAATACGGTTTTTGCAACTGAATTTCGATCAAGGCTTGTTTCAACTAAACATTTATCCTATATATAATAACATTGTTTGTAGGTTGTTCGAGGAGCGGGCAGAGAAAGTGCGTTCAGCAGTGGAAAAACTCATTCGAGACCATCAGCCAAAAATATCGCATTCCACAAACCTGCTCAACCTTATCAAGAACTTCGAAAATATCGCCAAGAATAACGAGAAGGTGCATAAGTTCAATACGGCTGTTGTAATTTAAGTTGGGCTATTTCAGCAACTGTATACGATGCAATATTTTTAGAACTTAAAATTCTTGCCAACTGCGAATTTGCTCAAGGCAAAAAGAACAGTATTCACTTACCAATAATGTGATAAGTTTCGTATAAACGGGATTGTCCGCTAGGGTTTCGCGTAACGTAATGAAGCGTACAATATTTACTTGTAAACTTTAGCTGTTTATTACAAGCCTCTATAAGGTAAGTTTACTGAGATAAGACAATAAAAAAGTTCGAATATTCGAGCCTTGACTAACGCATCGCTGGGAAAATAAGACAAGTCTATGCCGAATCATTTTCTTTGGTAACGAAGTGTCCTCATCGTATCATAGAATCTGTGGTCGAAAGACACATGTAATAGAGTATCCAAACACCCATAACAATTCTTGCATGAAGCTTTTGAATTGGGTGCGACTTCTACATCAAATCGTATTGGCACTCGTTGGCATTTTCAATGTGGTAGGACAATAATTTCTGTTGTCCTATTTTGCGCCTTGACTGTTAACCAGGCAAAAAGTTTTGTACTAATGAACCCAACGTAGGACAGTTGAACCTTGGATAAATTGTACTAGACAGCTACACCTTCGAAATGTTGCTCATACGCATGGAGACTGCCGGGTTACGCGGCCAGCGATGTGGTCGCGTGAACTTGGCTGGTAGAAACAGCATTTACCGCCCGTTTATGTCTTGATCACAAACTAGTGTTGTGTTTAGTACATGTGCTTAAACGACATTTTGTTTGCGATGATCTGTATATGCAGAACCCGTTAACATGCTGAACTTTTTTTACTATGTACAATTTCAAACGACTGGTGGCATTTCTTCTAACGCAAGTAGGCGATTTATAGGTTTTGGAAAAGATTCGTCACCGATCGGCGCCACCGCGACGTAAAATTGTGTCGTCTACGTCCTACATCAGCCAAGAAGCCGAACACGAACAGGAACGTTCACCAGCTGTAACTCTTCTAAATCCTGTTACGGTATCAATGTTAAGTCAACAGTCGCACCTGCTAGATCACTCGTCGCCTACACTTAAACCGTTTAATCTAACCTCGCCACGAAAAAGTGCAGCTTCTTTTGCTAGAGAGGTACGACAATCTCATCCATCATCCGCATGGCATCGATTAACTTAACTATTAATACGTAATTACTGGCTTTGTAAATCTAGCTCACCCAATGGCTAGTATTACGACGCTGATGTTTACGGCACGAAGATTGTGCCCCAACACTGGCTCAGAGCGTGGATTTCCGTTGGGAACCCTATTCCTAGGTTAACGTAGCCTGTACTGGCCTGCGCTTAATTAAGCAGTTATTGTTATTGTTCTCTTCCTGAATGGGTTCTTGTGTCGGAAGCCTTTTGCTGTTCTGAATGCACGTCAATACAGGACACCTAGCAGAAAGGTAATTGCTAGATGTAAGAGCTAGATTTCTGAAAGATTTGGCGACAGGAAACCATTGCTAAAGCTTGTTGAAACGTTAAACGATAAGAGTCGTCATTTTTTTTGCCGACGTCAGTTCGGTGGGTAAAGTGCAACGATGGACGGAACGCGATATCAAAAGTGCAGTGTTTTTACCATGAATGATGATATTCAGGCCGCTTTATGACTATATGGATTTGAAGAATAAACGGTTTTGAATGTTTATATTAGGTAGTATTTCAATAGAGCGTACAACGGAATAACAAAAAAAATCACATTGCTATGTAACTGATCGGAAGTTCAATATCTGATCGAGGCTTGCCATTGCACATAATAGATAATATGTAGGCAAGGTAACAGGATTTGACTGGTGTGTATATGATCCAGGGATGATATCCTTTTATTACGCTACTGTAGAATGAACAGACGCTGATAACGTTGCAGATTTATTGAAGTACTTGTGGAAAAGCTGTTACTGTGTATCAGGTAATTGGAAAAAACAAGTATTTGTTCGAAAAAAAAAGGATTCGAACCTAGGCAATACGTAATTATACTTAATCAATCCAAAATATTCAGATACCATGAAGCGAAAGATCAAAAGTCGCTTCAGGTTCGATCAAAAGAGTCCCTTAACGGGCAGTGACGCCCAACACCGCCAGAAAATTATCCGATTGGGACAACTTAGAAATTTTCTTTCTCAAGACAACATGAAAACAGCGTCAGGCTTCATGGAAAAATGAAGCTCAGCTGCGTGCTTTAACGTGCAGCGGGCTGTACGTGTACGTGGCTTGAGTTCGCAGACGTGACGAACTGATAACACAATTATAGGAAAATCAACATGGAGTGGGCACTCATAACAACAAGGTGCAATGCACTACGCTTTTGGTCATTCACTAGCTGACACAATTAAATCAATAGAAACTCTGTTTTATGAGGCTAATGTAGTTGTAAAGGCAGAACAAAAAAAAGTTAGCACAAGTTAATGGTTTTTTTACGGAAATTGAAATGTTCAGAAGCTAGTCAACCTCATGCGTAGTAGGTATCTTTAGATATCAGGTCTTTTTCGAAATAGATGTCTTGCGTTGAGTAGTAATGAAATGTCTCAGTCTATCTCTGCTGTACAGGTCCTGTCGATTGATTTGTTGTAATTTTTCCTTGAACTGATGTACATTGGATTGTCGTCGTCCGTTGAGTACAGATGCGTGACACTGCAGCGTCTACTTCGAATGCCGTAAACCGTTCTATAACAGTGAGAACGGCATTGACTTCAAGATCAGTGCGTTTCCACAAAGTATAACACTTTGTAACAAAGTTACATTCAATTCAGCAGTGGGTATAATCAATTTTTTCGATTCCAGAGCATTTTAGAACAGAGCTTGGAAGAAGTGATGAAGCCGCTGACAGTACAGCGGCTGGAGCTGCCTTCAAGTGACAAGCTACATGAGTCTGCAAACAAAAGCCCGTCCGAGAAGTCTCTCAAGATGAAAGAAACTCGACTAACAACCCGACAAGGTTTTAGTGCCACCCTCAAAGATCAGTTAGAAAGGGTGACGCTTGGCAGATTTGGTCAGTGTCAAATGGATAATATTAACCGCCTTGAGGAGCGACTTAATGGAACTCTAAAGTCCATCGGTGAGTTCGGCTTGAGCGAAGTTACAACAAAATAAGGCCAGAACGAAACAGGCAACACGAAAATTACATATCGCATTTCGTGTATGCACGGCGTTCGGGGGAACTTATCGTCGCGGGGTCAATTCGAAGGCCTAACCCAACTGAACGTTAGTCCTAATTTGTTATCTTTAAGTATGTTGAAGGGGTTAAAGCCGTTATGATTGACCGTTTTTGCATAAAGCGTCAAAAACTACAGTCACTACACATACCAACCATCGACGCCATTTTCAATTTCATGTAGCCCAACAATGCGTGTGAGACGTTTTTTTGACGTCTATGCGGTATAAGAAATGGAAAAAAAATTGGTGGATTATTATAATGAATGGCCACTGTGAATTGAGGCAATAGTAATTCCGTGCTTGTGGTTACTGTCTTAGTCGCCGGATCGAGATAGACATATGTTTTAGCATGCAGCTGTATGAGACAAATGTAGGAAGCTGTTCATTTTGGCATATAACGTTAAAACACGGTTAATGAAGAGTTACTGTTGCTAATGCTACTAGCAACAGTAACTCTTACCATATGTTCCATGAACAAAAAAGTTTAACGGTCTGAAAAAGCCTTAACATGCAATAGGCCTGAGAGACGAGCTTATTTTGATAGCTCAGTTGGTGACAAATATTTCCCCTTTAGAATCAATTACGAATTTCTGCGTTCAATTTAGGATTATAAGCAAGGACATTTTGCGCCCTTATCTACTCACTTTTCGAGCCATTTGCAGTTTATTTTCGATTGTATAGCTTCCGGTCGAATGAAGACGCAATCGGGGATCTCGGTAGTAATTAGTATTTATCATGAAGGTATTGGATGACAGCAGATGTTTTTTTCTGCATCTCAACAGCGATGCTCTTACCGCTATGATAAAGTCTCCTTGTGATTATATCAAAAAGTACTATTTGTTTAGTGCTAGGAATAGCGAAAGAATTTGTGCCAAATTATCCTCAAAAACCTAAATATTACCGCTAAAGTGCCTACATAAATGTTGCATATATCTTGCATCCTACGTAGTCGAAAATAACTCTGTTGTCGTTTTTTTCTTTTGTCAGTAAACGGCGACGATACGGTGGTTGGAGCTCAGGCTCTTGTTGATAATTCCAATGATCCTCTTGATTCACTGGCAAACTCAAAGATCAAATCTCTCAGTTCGACGAATCTTTGTGGCAGTGAGGCACTGATACCTCTTCTCAAGGTAGGCTATCGTCACGACTGTTTGTCCTTTCTAGCCTATTTATTTGCTTGAAAAGTACAAACATTGGGCCGTCAGTCCTGTTAACGTATTGCTTCTTAAATGTTTGATTTGATTAATTTTAAACTGCGACAGCAACTGCAGAGTCCTCTGAGCGCATCTTATTTTCGCAAAAAAAAAGGCACATATACAGTTAATGCATCGTAACGTCACGGAAGATATTTTTCCTTTATATTAAAATCGTCCATGATATACTAAACGTACAATCAATCTTCTAAGTTCAGTTTTATTATATTCATTTTACATATTACTGTGCGTTCAAGAGACAGAGGCTTCCGATAAATGGTAGTCTTTTCTATTTGTAGGACATGTACACCTTGCAGGATATAGCAGAGCGGCCAAGTCCCCCTGAGATGAAAGGCTATGCGCATATTGTGCTTAATTCCAAATTTCGCGAAAAATTTCTACACCTCAAAGATGGGCGTATCCACGTGTTCGAGGGAGAGTTTACTCAACGACCGCTACAAAAGGTGGACCTCACCGGAAAATGTATTCTACAACTTCTCGACGATCGGAGTATCGGCCTCGACTTCTCGTGTAAGCAAAAGGATTGCTCTATGCAGGAAAGTTGTCCGTCCATTTGAATCCAACGTCAGTAAAGATAATTATCTATTATAGCCTAGCAAGACTTCAGTTACCTATACTGACCCCGTTGGAGGAAAATGTAGAAAATGAAGTGATCGTTCTCAAGAATCTCATTGGAATAATTAAAGTTGCACACCATAAACAGCGACTTTTTCCCTTCTCGCAGCGTCGGCGAGTCCCGTGAGTGCAACGGTACTTCAGTTGAGCTCAACAAAAGAGCGAGATGAATGGTATCGCCATTTGATGGCTCATGCTGACATCTCGCTTAACTTTGTTGTTCCCTCAAGCCGGCCGTTGAGCAGTCACAAAAGATGTCTTGTACTTGACCTTGGATCCTGCTCCGTTCGCGCCGGCATTCTCATGGACCAGGCAACATTACCGCAGGTTAATTGAATGAAAAACAGTAGATAGCTACCTAACGATGAAACCATATTTGGCAAATTTAACCAGGACCACTAATGAACTAACACAGTTGTATCAGAGTAGTCTTGTATTAAAGCACTATTAGCTTAATTATGCTGGCTTAGAATGTTTCAACGTAAGTCTTTTATCCTAAAAAACCTACCTGTGTACGAAAGCATAGATTAACGGCTGAGTAAGACGCGAGTGCTTTGTCCGTCTTTCTAAGCAGAAACACTGAGTATGTGTAATGCAGTACGCCGTAGAATCAAGCTTAAATCTCCTGTTTGATCGCCCTTCAATGATCTAGAAGTCTCAAAATTATGAATGTCATCGCAGGTATACTTCCCATCCTTTTTGGCCATTGACAAGACGTCAAAAAGGGCGTATTTTGGAGAGGATGCGCTCAACGAAAACGTAAGTTAACTGTTTACTTTGCCGCGTATAAACATATCTACGCTTGTGCGCACCTTAAACATAATCCGTTTGGTTCTGTTTAACTACGCCTTAATATGTCCTTTAGATTCGTAAGAACTGCCGCCTCATCTTTCCTCTGGCCTCCGTGGACAAGGTGACAAAGCTGACTATGGACACAACCTATTTGACACACCTTGTCAACAAAGTTCTTAAGGATCTTCGTCTCAGTCAGGCAGAGCTGACAGAATACAATGTTCAGGTGAACACATACAGAGGAGGGTTGGACTGCTTTGAAAACTTTCAGAATGCTATCCAACGGATATAATAATTATTAAGTTACGGGAAAAAAAGGAGTACCTTACTTAGGCAATCAATTGGCTCATATTCGCGGAGCCGAAAAATCACACGATGAGTTATAGCAATATTTTATTATTAATTCGTTATTATCCTTATGTTCCTCTTAGGATAACGAATACGTTTTCTGGTGCTCATGCAGGTCATCCTTCCACAGACATATAGTCTATCGACGCAAGCAGCAATTGCTAAGTTCTTCTTGGAGGATCTGGGTGTCAAAGGTTTGAATATTACACATCAAGCTATTTGTGCGCTCTACGCATACAATACGACATCAGGGATCGTAGTGGATATTGGCAACCGTCTTGACATCTTGCCAATCGCTGACGGCTACGTAGTTGACTCCGGTGTTTCCCGGCTACTCAATGGAGACCAAAAAATTATTCAAAACCTCGCGCATGAACTAGCCCAGAAAAGGGTATGTATCAAAAGAATAAGATGACGACGACACGCGTCGTAGCGAATCGTTGGTAGCGGCTCGAGAAACAATTCGACAGGAAGTGCTGTCATTGGTAGGAAGAAACATTTCGCGTACGTCAGGATTGACACTTTGATTTATTTTGCAGGTGTCTTTGTTTAATCCATTGGACGTATATATGTTACGGCACATATTTCAAGAACTGTGTTACGTCGCGCCTGACTATGTCTCCGAATTACAACAATTCAATTCGAATCCTACTTCCTTTTCAAAAGCTGTCCAACTGTCTGGTTTGACGCTTTTAACAGGGGCGGACCCAGTTATCGAACTGGACCAAGCGCGTTTTTCGGTAGCAGAAGGTTTATTCCAGCCTCAGATGTGGGGCTTGGATTGCCCAGGCCTCAGCAAACTCATCGCGAAGGCCATTATGCAAAATTCGATTGATATGCGAAAGCAGATGGCGCGGAGCATTTATCTCAGTGGTAAGTCTACAGGGCTTTCATTTTTGTAGCTCAATCAATTAACACGCTAACTATTGCACACGTTTGCATTACTTCAAAAGAAAGCACGTCGATTCTAACCCATTCACCGAAATCTTTCTTTTATTTTGTAGGTGGTCTAACATTACTGTCGGGCCTGCGGGAGCGTATAATCGCTGATGTTTCTCGCCTGGTGCCTTCGGCCCTGAAAGTGGAAGTCCATGCTTCACCCTACCGTCTACATATGGCCTATATTGGAGCGTGCACAATGGCTTCGACAGGCGCGTTTGACAGACAATGCATCACCTACTCGCAATGGCGAAGCGGTCCAGATGACTGCTATAAATCGTGGCACGTCAGTTAGACAGCGGTCGATGCGACTTTAGGCCTCCAGCCTGTTCTGCTGCTGGGGACTAGACACAGGAAAAACTTGGAACTTAGCAGAATTTAGTTTTCGTTACATGATGACCTATCGAGTGACGAAAATGGCGCCGCTAAAAATGGCCATGAATACGTTCAATGATAGCGAACGTCGTTTTTCTTCAACAGCCAGATACAGTAGAAGGAAATGCTCTGTATATATGTGCATATCGATAAGCACCAATACATAATGACTAAAGATGTCTAGATAGCTAGAGAATAATTAACTGCCCCGCATTAGACTGAACGCCAATCTTATTTTGTAATACATAAAAACGTGCGCGTGCGCCTGAATCGTTTAATAACATTACTATATTGTATAACAAAAAGATCACGATAAGGATAAACAGGAAGTCACTATCTACACAAATAATTCGAACGTATTCCATCTTTGTTTGCTAGCGTGCCCTAATATATTATCATATAATGTATGCGGAAAACAACGGAAAACGTTTAGTGGCCATCCAACCTCCCGTAGACAGGTGTGTTCACGGAAGGTACACATATATATATTTGTGATCCACCACCCTGCGGTCCATTGCTTGCTTGCAGCACGTTTAACTAGCTTTTGCAACACCCCAAGGCGTGATTCCGCTTCATTCCTTTAAAAGATCGAAAGCCTGGAGGTACATTATTGCGGCAGGGACACATTGTAATAACGAAGTACAATTTTAAGCGGTTGCTGTCCAGACCTTTCAGCTGATTTTTGCTGGGTAGAAAGCCATTGCATATGTAATGGTAATGCGCAATGGTACGTTTTGTGTCATTTTTTTCATTATTTTCGTTTTTCGACGCTCTGCGTGACGTCAATCATGCGTTTGATGTGCGTACACCGATATATATACATACATAATATACAAACTGTATGCCTAACGAGCATACCGGTACAAACTATCCTGAATCTTGGGTCTTCTCGCAGGTACAATCATTGTACGGCGAAAGGAAGACTTCAAAAGCCGGTTGGACATATAACTATAGATCCGTAGATAACATTTAATGCCATATTATGGGGACGAAAGATGAAATTTCGTCTCGCGGGCGTCTTGATTCATAATCATTAAGTGTTTTAGTTGGCTGTATACGTTACTGAATATTTTGCTATTTAATAGAATGGTTTGTTGGTTTGCTTCCGTGGACCCACGACTGAACCCGCCGCAGAAGACATCATGAGCACTGCTCCTTATGATTTTCTTATAATTTTCATCTATGTCTAACCTGGAAGATAATTATCAATTGACAAAAAACAATCCGGTTTAGTCCTTAAGGTTTTAATATTGTACTAATTCTTCACGATACGTTTGCGTAAAACCATGCGAAATCAGCGTCGGGCACTACGGTCCTGCGTTGAGAATGAAAACCGACTTTGACCTGAGCTATGCCCTACTACTGACATAACCTAAACCGCTGATTTTTGCAACGACAGAATTCATTACATTCTATTGCGACGACATTGTACTATAGCCTGGCAATAAATTTATTTAATAATAAATTGAGAAAGCGTTTTATTTTTACATTCAAATTGGACAAACGAATCAACAAACAAAAAACTTCAAATAGGATTGGCGTTGTAGTGAGGCTTCTCCCAAAAATTTGTTCGCCACCATGTGATACTCATACGATTATCGAAATATACAGGATCAACTTTCCTCGGATCAACTAATAAAGGGACCCGCTCCTGCTTCTCAGCTCCCGCTCTGTATTTGAAAATTCCCCCAACTCTGTAGGTTGGGTAGAATGGATTCATTAGTGCTTAATCAGTCAATATATATGTAGTAGTAAGTGTTAAATGTTAAGGCCAATGTAAATGTCAACTGCAAGCGGGTGGCGTCCTGTCTTCAAAGATGGTCCTCCCCGATTGTTTTAGCAAGTAAAAATACAGTGCATCAAATGTGATACATTATGTCATGCCCTCGCCTGTCGCCCCTCACAGATCTTAGCAGAATGACGTGAGCGCTTTTACTTGCATTGTATCGTCTATAGCTAATTTACAGTAGAGTGTAACCAGAGCTTAAGCCTGACATTGTCTACAGTATAAATGGGCCTTAGCTTCCGTACTTCGTTAACTGCAATTACATTTGTTCAATTCGAAAGCCAAAACTACACATTGAAGTTACATGGAATTGTCAGCGGGCCTTTTTCTTTGCAGAGATAGAATAAATATCCAATTGGTATTAGGTACCTAACAAAGTTTTATTATCACGGTGGCGATGACTAGCTCGTATATGTGGTATTTCTGTCAACCAATCGTAGCTAATCTTCTTTCATGTCTTCGCTCATTCATGAAAACACGATGTTTCCGGCTATTGTTTTTATGCCAAGCGCGTGACGAGCCTTAACGCGCTAGGGCCTTTCCCAGGAACCGACAAGCGAGCGACATTCAGGGCTATTATCCGCTGGCACCAAATACCGCCGACTAATGTAATGAAATAACATCAGCTAGATACGAAAATTATTACGTTAGCTACAAAGCGGCCAATGTACCAAAAGTCTGAAGTCTAATTGCTAACGCGCAATCAATGAAACCAGGTATCTTCATTCGATTCGGAAGATCATTCGATTTATTTACTATACCGCAATGTGGCTTTCCACCAAGCGTTTAACTTAGAGAAACTAAACAAAAAAAAGGAGTGTACAAAGAAACTAAGTTTCACCCATCACTTAGCTTACGATACAAATGGCAAATATGAAGGTCTATTTTCTTTATTACTGCAAGTTTCGATCTAAGCACCGCAAAAACAGCCTGCTGAAGTTCCAGTTGACTCCGACGAAAGCAGCGTTAATTATAGAAGTGTGGTATTAAGCGTGCTTTATCTAAATACTTCTTTTCTATCAAACGAGCAGTAAGACCAGATCACGTCGGCAAAAGCATTACTTAGTCAGCGACATACCGTAACACGCACATCACCGCTTCCACGAAACGGCAATAGCTGCAGTAATTTTCGATCAAAAAGTTTTCGACAACTTTGTTCCCATATGGAACTGTGCTCAACAGGGTGTCTTTACTCACGTAACATTTTCGCGCTAGCAGCTTTGACGAGGTCCCGCCGTCAACCGCGTAACATGCGCGACCGTGGCAAACCCAGAGTAGAGACGCGAATTCGGGAACAAGTTGGAAAGCAGCGCCATGGGAAGAAATGTGATAGAGGCTATCTTGCCCCACGTAGGTGTTCACTATATCCAACTGATCGGAGAATCAACCATGCTTGCCCTCGCTATTAAATTTACCAATAAATCATACATTGTAGGGTTGACGCTAGTTATATATGCATTAGTGAAAGAAAGCCTCGCTGGGGCGCACTTTAGTATTACTTCTGTTTATAGTGTCGTACAAACGACGGACTGTTTGTTCGTTCAATGGCCAGTAAATCATGAAGTCGCAAATATCCTTGGCGAGCTGAATCTTCTCGTGTCCCTTTGTTACCTTCAATTGTTTCGAAGTGCTAACCAAGGCTTCCTAAAGAAGACATCTTTTTACTTCTGCTCATTCTAACGATGCTTCTCATCCGGTACACACTTGTGTTGGCGACGGCAATTGTCGGCAGCGCGTTTGCTTGGTTCGGACCTTTAGCGCCATTCGATGACTATGGAAAGCTTTATGAACTTGGCCTAAGTGGTGGAACGTACTACGGATACCAGTATGTCCCCCGACATCCTGGTCATGCTAATGTGCCAGCAAAACGTGCTGATCTTAATGTATCCATAGCTGTAAAGAAGCCACCTATCGTTCGACAGGCTGCTCCATTTCTTCACGGACAAGGTGAGCCCTTACATGATTTTTACACACCAGTACAACAGCATTACACAAAAAATTTTAGACACCATGCTAAATTTAAAACTGCAGAACCTGTGCACAACCCACTAGAGAAAGAAGCTGGTGTGAAAGCTCTGCCTAAACCTCAAGGAATTCATGGTGAAGAAAGCTTCCAGAGACCCCCGCCTAGAAAAACTAGCTACCATCCTTCTCAACCCAACTTGGCTCATAAAGACTTTTACTTACCGTTGCCAAAAGACGTCGGTATACATGAAGCGGGTCCTCGTGTTGCATTTCATAAAGAAGTCGGTCTTAATGGCCCGATCCTAGCACCAGAACTGATAAAACAATTGGGAGATGTCTTAAACGAAGTTTCTACAGACATACTGCACCACCACGATGGATCTATTAATCCTTTCGTAGGCAAGGGTCAATTCAATGTTGTTTCACGCGCCTTCGAAAGTACGGATGCACGTAAACTTTCCAAGCCTTTCCTTACGCCCGTAACTCGCAACAATAATGGATACGCCTATCACAGAGTCCCATTAGCCCTAGGTAAGTCATTGATATTCTTGTTATGTTTTTAAATATGTATCCTATAACATTCATGCGTGTTAACATATTTGAAAACTTTAGTCCTGTATATCATGAAAACACTACAAAAAAAATTGCTCTTACTTTGTTAACAAATGTACGATAAATTATTACAGGATAGGTATTGTTATCAGTTACGATATCCGGAAGCAATTTTTCATCGTTTGATCAATTCATTTATCAATTCATTTATATTCAATTATCACTGAAGTTAACTTCAAACAGACATTTTATCTATAAACGCACATACTATAACTCTGGCTATAACCAATATGATACTACTGCACGGTGTGAACAGGAAATGTAAACCAAAGCAATTATCTTAAGTTTTTGTATCGCTCCTGTTCCAGTTCAAGGAGGTTTCGTCGGCCACCATCTTGGCATACCCGTTGTGCACGGGATCGTTGAAGCTGGTGTTCCAGTTTCGCTTGCCCCGGGATTGTAGACACTGAATCCGATCTATGAAAGTTGCACAGGGAATCTTTCGAACAGCATACTCTAATCCGATATAGTATACAAACAGCATGTGCCTGTTGTAATGAGAATAGAGAAAAAAAGAAACAGGAATGGTTCTTAAAGTATGCACAAGCTACAAATCTGAGACTCTTCCGTCGTTTTATAATAATAATAATAATAACAAGTTTATAGAAGGAACAGACCTTCGTACATTAAAAAACCACACATATTTGAACCAACTTAGAAAGTAGCTTTAGTCGCTGACCTTCTGTTTGCTGTTTTTGGCCAGATCGGGAAATGTGTAAGTTAACTTGAAACCTTTAAAACTGTCTCTCGCAAACTATGGTTTACTGAAAAATCTTTTTTCCATTTTGCCGTGACTGTATCGTTTGTATTTTATCGTGACTTTGTTATCGCACTAGATGAGTGCACATTCGCGATAAGATATAATATATAAGTCATATGTGATATAATATATACGTTACGAATAAAATATTGCTACTACATTGCGTTGGATGTGTTAAACGAAAGCCTATTTAAGCAGTGTGATATCTACGAAAACCATAATTCCGACATTTTTCTCGATAGACTCCTTTTGCCATGCAGGAGATTTAGACAAAATTCTAACACGGTGATTTTGTCAAGCATAGACCTCTGTTCGCTTGGTACACATGCTTATTATTATCCCATCTACATAAAATGCAGCTATTTCAGCCACAGGCGACTGTCCCAGATGACGACGTTAAATTACTGTGGCGGGATATTATGTCCGAGAATCGGATCGCACATTTGTTATTACATTAAAAACGCCATTAGTTATCTCAAAATGAAAATTCGGTGTAAAAAACTATGTATTAATAGGTTATGTCGTAGTCTGGAGCTTTGTTTTTAAAACGAAACAACTTGTTGATTACAACTAAGAAACGCTTTGATTGGGTCCACCTGTGCAGTAGCCTGGGTATGGCGTAAATTTGAGTCTTCTTCTGTAGAGATTCTTCAGTAGACAAAGCTGGTATATGATCCCGTAGTAGCATTTGGAAAGAAAAGCTTCACAGATGTTATATTCTATAAGGGTAATCACAGAGCATGAGAACGAGCAAAGCTTTGTTTGCAAAAGTTGCCCTATTTTGTTTTATACCCTATGCCATATATGATAAACAAGAAATGTTAGTACCTGTTTATAAATAACTGTTACATGGGACATGAGAAATTCCCCTGCAAGAGAAATTCTTTGCATTCTTCCGTTAAAAATATGGAGGCACGTTCGCGACCGACATTTGTTCTCAGGAAGCTGTAGAAGCCAAACTGCTTTCAAATGTTTTAAAAAGGTAATAAGATAATTAGGCGTCCATGCAAGCGAAGGCGCGCAAACGAAAATTTACTTTTGAGATATTTTCCTATATTTTGCTAGTTGTATTTATTAGAAAAAGTCGTAAACAGCGCATCTATGCTTCGTAGATATATTGTTTTGGTCACTATTTGGCGCGCAAATTCAAAATGAATTTTTTGTTATGGGCAAATTGGCTGGTAAAAACAATCAGAGTCGAAGATCGAATATTCTCTTGACGTTCGCAGATGGACGCACACTTATTGTTAGAATTGTACTGTAAGACTATTTATGCTTTCTATAGGTCTCGTGTGAGAGGGCGCTTATATATAGATTAAGCAAATCAGTATCGAACTATTAATTTAATTCGTCACAGTTATTTAATAATGTCATTTATTTACTGCCGTCGCGGTCACAAAGTACTATTAAGTACGTCCGCATTTTGTATTCCTCCGAAGCTAGCAGCGCCCATACGACAACAAAGGAAATCCTATACTGGGTTCGCTATGATTATGTGAGGATGCGCCTTAACCCCGAGGCATTATATGGTCTTCATGCTCGCTATTGCTATACGGTAGATTAACATAGAATGGGGCTAACAGGTATGAGCTATGACGCCGTTCATAGATTCTTTAGCAGTATGAATGGCTCATAATGCAATCATTCTCGTTGCCTGGAGAGCGATCAATGAAATACATATTATTGTTAAGTATTCGAGTATAGGAAAAAGGTGATGTCGTCTATTGTTTTTGTATGAAAAGGAACAGAAACGAAAATAGCTAGTGTTGATTCTGTGCCCGCGACGTTGTCGGATATGCCGGCTGACTTCCGTCGTACATTATTCGAGTCAATCTTTGACTCACTTTTGTAAGTGTTAAGTTTAGTATCTTTCTTTAAGCTAGTGCCCATTTGATAGTGTGCCGATAATGATTAAATGTGATTTCCTATTTTCTGCTCATGTATATTAGTCTAACCCCAAAAACATACCCCCCACTACGGAGCTCTTACAGGAATCGATGCGCGCGTCGATATGTTCAGCTAACTCATTTTACTCTTACTATGATTTTTATGTTTGTTTCGATACCTATAATTTTTTTCCCATAATTATCATGTCATCGGGTTTAGCTGCTGTGCCAGATCATGATTTAGAATAGTTCCCATACGGTCAGCATTTATCATCCTGTAGCAAGATGGGTCATATATATAAAACGATCCGAATGAATCGTATGATTTGAATTGAAATAATGCTAATTATGTAAATAAACCGTATCATTACATATTTCTTAGTCATGATTGAGCCAACTAATCGTTTAAGCTAGAGGTATCATCGATTACGAAGGGCCACCGAAACAGTCATTCTTCTTGCCGTGCGGGCAAGAACGAAAGTCACGATTTCCAAAATTAGACTGGTGGTTCAGCTTCGCTTTATGAGCAAAAAGCTGAACTGATACCCAAACGAAACGCTAAAACAACCTTCTATTCAGATTTCTCCCTCAGGCTCCTGCATAGACTTACAACATTAGTCAGAAGGTTGCTTTGTTCCCTGGATTAACAATTTACTAAGTACAAGGTCAAACTACCTTTAGAGTAGCACCTCAAACGCCGGATCAGATCAAAAAGCAAACAAAATGACACTCCCTTTTAGCTTGTAGATATTAAAAAAAATTGACTAATATATGTAAAGCTTGCAAGCATCCCTGACCAAAGCTCGCTTGCACTATTTTTTAGTAGTAAATTGCGCAATCTAATGGTGATGACTGGTGTCCGGTTCCCGATATAGTAAGAATTGTCTGATTGATGTTTTTCTGTTTCTAAAGGCTGCCGTTGCAGAATATTGTATAGGCCATCGCATAGATGCTATTACACAAGTTGCCCGTTCTATATTCTCGTATGTTTTCGATTGATATGTATTGTTTACCAATAAATTAGTTACTATTATGGAGCGGTTTACGCTCATGCTACAGTCATTTGTATGAAGCCTTTCTTTTGTTGCTTTTCTTATTCACAACACAAACGATTTATATACTAGGTTCTATTGTCATTGTTTACAAAAAAACAGTAAAGAACTGGAGATTATTATATAGACATATATAAGCCGACTATGACCTCAAATTTTTTCCACCAATGTCGTTCAAGGTACGATAAGTGCCTATTTCGAACCGAAACAATTTAGACTACATAGGTGACAGCAGTAAATGTGCGATCGTTCTTCTTTGCTGTTACTTTTTTCATGAACCGATTGCCCCAGCACGTCGGAAAACCACGGATCGGTGAGACACCAGGCTCACGCAAAGAGTCTGGGAATTGTTTGCCATTGACTTAGCTTATTTGCAACTGCCGTAAGTTGTACTATCGGCGTCATTACTTATTATAATATTACTTATTATATATATTACATTACTTATTATAACGGCGTCATTATTGATATATCTTTATGTAGAGGAAGCAACTATGGTGTATGACGACGGGCTCTGCACAGGCAAAACCGTCGCCTAGGGATCGTTTCGTCATGGGAATAGCCGCCATTTTGTCTTGTGTCGAAGCTATTAACTGGAGAGCCGTCGCACGCGATTTTCGTCACATTCATTGGTGCTGTCCCATCGTAAAATCTGCCGCGGGAAGGTCTTTGTATTTTATTCATTGCATTTGAATTACGCCGATGTCCTAAACTAGTATTGACGGGTAACTTTATTATTTGTAACTAATGGAGTATAGGAATGACACTTTGATATTAGTCTGGGAGTGACTGTCGTCTCGTGGCTTGATAGCTACGATCCGACTGCCGGCAACCGAGTTGCACTTTTCTTCTGTCTCGTTCGTGATAATCGCTCAGCCCGTAGGAAACAATCCGATCGATGGAATGGTAAATATCTCGCACCGGTTTAGGCTTATTTTTTGTACTCAATGTCTCTGATAGCAACCTCTGTATGACGTCTCCATTTGTGTTTTGTTCTGTGCGCTGGTCTACAGATGTATCTCGTTGTTTCCATCATTTTAAAAATCCATAGTTTTCGCGTTTCTACGACTTTTAACCATAGGGTCGTTATTGTCAGGCAAACGGGTACGTTGAGCATCCATGTGTGCGGATTAGCTTGCCATCTTCCCTTACCCCAGTGGGATCCAGACAGCATTGGCGATCGTGATGCGTGCTATGGCGAATATTGGCGAGCGAGCAGTGGTCAAAATAATGTGCGAACCCCCCCACGCCCCGTCGCGTCACTGTTCTCATTTCATTCCGACTTGTCGACTTTAGTTAGCGTGCTTAGCTAGAATTTGCCTATGTTGTCCAGGTTCGCCACCTGGCAACGGTTCGTAACGGGATTGACTGTGCCGCTGGTGTTGTGTGAGTTCGAGTCGAAGGTAACCGTGTAAGGACACGTTTATAATAAAGCAAAACAGCAACGCTTTGCAACGGACGTGTGACTTGACCGCCATGGTTTGCTATGTCGACGTCTTGACGGTGAGATTAAGACAAGTTGGTGGCAACTGACAGGATTTTTAATGATCCCCAATCTGGATAGATTTCAAGTCGATCTAATTTTGTTCTCATGTGGTCATATGTTACGCAAAGAATACATTTTCCTGCAGTATTGGCCTGACATGCTGCTTCATATCATGGACGCTCGACGGAAGTGAAACGTAAATACGGCTTAAGTTCTCCCTGCCCTCGGTCTTACGACTTGTTTCAAGCTGAAAAACCTCTACAACACCGATCGTGAATATTACGTACCTTTACTAAGGCGATGGCGCTTAATGTAATTTATTTATTAGCATACTTACTGACTATGGCGCGTTCTAACTCTCATAGGTCGCTCATAAAAGCGACCTACCGCCAAACTGGCGTTAGGCGATTTATCCGTACCGAGAATTATATATAAAATTTGGTTGGTTGTTAAGAATTATTGTCCTAAGAAATGGTGCGTTGAAACATAAATTCAAAACATTTCTTCATACTACTTGTGCAGTTTTCTAGTTTAAGGGATAATGTTTGCATAATAAATCCATAGATTCCATGATAAGCTGCAATGGATACATTGATATACTTTCAGCCTCGGCATAACCTCGAAAATGCTATAATAAAATTCTTCATTCATGTATATTAGAGCGCGCATCCATTGTACTGTTGGCAGGGCATTTCGATCGATTTGTACCTGCTACGGCCGATCAAACCCAGCTGCCACTACATTGAAGATCCACTTCGTAT